CACTGTGGTGTCACCGCCACAATCGAGGTAGAAGGCAAGGAAGCCACGCGTATTAGCGGTCCTCGAGTAGGGCACCTCCTCCTTCATGTCGACCGAGCAACACAGGTTCATGAACTGCTGACGGGGCGGGAATGGTGGCGCCACCTCCTTGCCGCGGCGAGGATGATGGCTCCTCCTGGATGCGCGGCATGGATGGTGGCTGCTCCTTTATGTGGCGTCCTAAGCCCGGCGACGCGGGGCCATAGTCATAGCACGCCTGCTCGAGCAACAACTATTAACTTCCGTCGAGATAGTCTTTTGTTTGAGGTAACTTGCGTCGAGAAAGTTGAAATTTAATTGGTGTTAACATTGCTTGGTGTATATGTAGCCTTGGTAAAAGTATGAGGGTTGTTTGGGGTCAAATACAAGCGTACATGTGATAGTGAAACTTTTTATTTCTACTGGTTTTGGCAAAAACACGACGATTCCTTGGTGTTGAATTTATTTCTTTCAACCATGAAACATGCAAGGTTTCCACATTGATACTGGCTAGGTCCTACCGACCTAGTTATTATGGGTTGTGATCCTTGGCCTGGAGTCGATCTAGGGTCGGTGCCGAACGGCGAGCAGTTGATGTGGCTTGACCGACTTGCGGGCGGTTGGATATGATGTGGCTCGATCTAGCGTAGGTGATGGTGGCGGTGCCGAACGGCGGGCAGTTGACGTGGCTTGACCGGCTTGCGGGCGGTTGGATGGGCGTGACAGCGTGTTGTGTTGTGGTGGTCATGTAAACCCAAGAAATCATCAAATCAAATCAAAATCAAGGAAGGAAGGAAACAAGGAGTATTATTTTGAGTGGAAGAGGAGTATTGTTTTGCTGTTTCTCACGTAAAAGAAAAAAAAAACAAGACTGATGAAAAAAAACAAGAAATTTTTTTGCCAGCTAACCTTGCGCGTGCACGCACGGTATATCTGGCCATGGGCTGGGCCGGGCTTGGGCCAGGCCTAAAAAAGCACACGACAAAAAACTGAGGCCCGGGCCCTCCCAGGCCCTACCATCAGGCCTACTTTTCAAGCCCAAGCCCGGCCCATCTGGTCAAAAGCCCTTAGGGCTTAGGGCCATGGACGGGCCTCTTCCTTAAAATGCCAATATGCCAAGCCCAAGCCCGTCCAGGCCCTGCTGGTGGGCTCAAAACTTAGGCCCAAGCCCAGCCCACGAGCAAGCCCATCGGGCCTAGGCCCTGGATTTTAGGGCCGGGCCTAGGTGGGCCGACAGGGCCGGGCCTGAGATGGCCAGGACTAACGCACGGCCTCAGCTATGCATTCTCTTGCCTCTCAGGAAAAAAAAATCATGTCACTTTCATCTCCTAGCTGGGTCATGATACAGAGAACCTCGTCGGGATTGCGCCAGTGTTGCTTCGTCGTCGTCGGTCTAGGTCGTGCATTCTTTCTTTCTTTTTTTTGTTTCGCGAACAAATCAAGATGCGTTGCCTTGCATTGCGTAGGTGGGTATTGAGACAAAGGACAAGGCCGTGCGTGCGTGCGCCTCAGCAATAGCAAATCCTTTCCTTGGGGTTTCTTTCTACTAGTACTAAAGCGCCGCAGCAGTCGTTGATGTCCCATTATAATTTTTGTGCCATAGTGCGTCCCATTGTCACTACGGAAATGGCTAGAAATCAGTCAGCTGAATTTTTGGTTTGAGGAGCATCCAATGATATAATTTTCACATTATGCATCCCATATATATATTATTAATCTTATCAGCAGTCAAAGGCAGTATCAAAAAACGCATTTGGCCCTATATATATGAATGGAGGGAGCAAGAAGGTTGGTGGCGCTCAGCTTTGGCACCGGCGCAAACCAAGATTATTGTTGCTCCTTCTCAAAATGAATCGCTTCAATAGTGTTATATTATAGACTAACTAGTGCATTAACAAAACGAGATGCTTTTAATGAGAGCACTCCAGAAGGAGAGCAAAAAGAACACTAACAAAGAGTATCATACTCGTTAGGTGTTAGTGGATGATACAATAATGGCAAATGTTAGGTGTGAGTGGCCATGCCAGTGTTATATCACACTCACACCTCATCACTGAGCATCTGACCTTTCATCTGATCAATCACGCCGCGCGCGAGGCCCCTCTCTTTCTCACTCCTATAAGTATCCAAACACACAATCATTTGCAGGCATGCAGCAGCTATCTCCAGCCGATCAATGGATCAGCTCCTCGTGCTCCTCGTGCTCCTTCTCGAACCGCCCGCCCGCGCGCCTGCACGTGGCCTTGGCCAGCCGACGCGGCGGCCAGCGGAACGAGAACCTCAACTCCGTGGCGCATGGCCCGCACTAGCGCGCCCTCCGGTGCAACCTCACCGCCGAGACCCTCCACCCGTCGCGCCTCGGTGGCCTCGCGCCCCTGCAGCGCCAGGCCATCCAGGGCCTCGTCGCCGCCTTGTCGTCCGCCCCACGGGGACGCGGGGAGGAGGTAACGGAAGTGCACCAACACCTCTATGGCGCAGTGTTCTCGGTCGTCGCGCGTGTGTGCTTCGGCGACGCCGTCGATGAGGCCCACGTGCACGCAATGCGCCATGTCATACAACGCTTTCAGATCGCCATGGGGCTGGTCAAGCCCTTCACGTCCATGGGCTCCGTGATGGAGAAGCTCGTGGAGTGGAGGCGGCTGCGCAGGCTCTTCGCCATCGATGTCCGGCTCAAGGAGCTTTCCTCCCTCCCATCGAGGCACGGCGGCGGGGTGTTCAGTCGCGTCGACCACGCGACGACGACGGTCGTCGTCCGTACAACGACTCACTCGTCGACCTCCGCGTCCCAGACGAGGACGGCGGCCAGCGCGCTCTTAGGGATGACGAGATGGTGCAACTAATCTCGGAGTTCCTCGGCGCCGGCACCGGGACGGCGGTAGCAACCCTCGAATGGGCCCTCGCCCACCTTGTCGACAAGCCGAAGATGCAGGAGAAGCTCCGCGGTGAGGTCGACGACGGCGAGGTCTCCTGTGCAGGTGCAGGCATGCCTTACCTGCATGCTGTCGTGCTGGAGACCCTGCGCATGCACCCACCGTTGCCGGTCATCCTGCGCCATATCCATGCTGATGTCGTCGTGGTGCTGGTCGGAGGAATGGCAGTGCCGCCGCCGGCCGGCGACTTTTACGTCAATTTCTCTTCCGGTGATATTGGCAGGGACAGCAAGATATGGAAGCATCCCAACGAGTTCCTTCCGGAGCGGTTCCTGGCCGGCGGCGACGGGGAGGGCATTGGCCCGTTGCCGGGGCCAAAGCAAATCAGGATGATGCCATTTGGCGCCGGCCATAGGTTCTGCCCTGGCGTGGGCATGGCCATGGTGAACATGAAGTGCTTCTTGGCGGCGCTCGTGCGCGAGTTCGAATGGGCGCCGCCGACTGGCAGCGGCACTGTTGACCTCACGGAGCTGGATTCCTTCTTCAAGGTGATGAAGAAGCCGCTTTCCGCGCGTGTCATGCGACGCACCAAATCCATCTAAAGATCTCAACATCTCGCGAATCTGCACGATTGTGCATAATAAAAAAGTTGTGTTTCTACCATTGTTGCAGCCGAGCCTAGAGCCGCGGAAAGCTTCTCCTTCTGCCGGTTTCTGTCGGTTTCAGTCGTCTCAGGCAAGGGAACCCCGGATTTATACACAATGCTATCTAGTTTGGGTGCGACTAGGTCTCAGTTGACTAAGACTTAACCAAGTCTAAGTTAAATGATATATAACATGTAAGAAAGAAAAAAGAAAAAAACCAAAATCTTTTGCACGGATCTCCGTGTAAGATACCACGAATATAGCATGACTCTCAGTCGACAGGGATTCAGCAATCCCAATCTAGTTTCGGCGGACTCTGCCCCTGTCCTGGTGAGAACGTTCATGGTGTGACGCGACATGGTTGATATCTGGGGTTTTGGTCCCACAAATTGTCGGTTCACCCGTGCAAACCTACGGAGAATGCTACACTTAAGGGTTGTTTGCGCATGGAAGTAGTTATGCGCTGAATTGTAAACCTACGGTTGGTTAGTGCTGGTGTAGTTCCTTGTCTGCTAATAATGTAGGACTAATGTCTTTACACATAGTCTGCAAGTATTTTTGTAGTGAACATCCGACTGTGTTGATAAACTTATAAGAGTACATCAGGTCAAAAAAAAAAACAAGAACAGATGACAAAGCGAGCAACAATGCCCGTTCACTCCTTTTCCCTCACCTCGCGCACATGTGTTTTGTGACCATGACGAGCCGACCTATACCAAGTATTGGTTCGTTGAGAATTGGACTCTTTGCCATTTAGGATCATGAAAATTAAATAAGTAACCATCAACTACTACTTCATTTTGTTGATCTGTAGTTAAAGAAGTATTCATGCAGAGAAGGCCAATCAGTTCATCTCCAGATGCCGGGTTTGATCTCCCGATCTCCTGCGTGACCTCTCTCACACATTGCCAAAATCACTTTGCTGCGTTGTTAGAAGGATATCTCATCCCGGCGGTTGTGTGCACAACCATCTAGAAGAGTGTGTATCAGAAACCTGTTTTGGAAGCGTCTTGGTGTGATTGCTCATTTCATAGTTTGCTTTGCCATCTACCATTTTGTCAATCAACTTATATGGTTGCAATCTCTTCATGGATCGGCTTGTGCCAGAGGAATGGCCGTGCCGCCGCCGGCCAGCGACTTTTACGTGAATTTCTTTGCGAGGGACATTGGCAGGGACAACAAGATATGGAAGGATCCCGACGAGTTCATGCCAGAGCGGTTCCTGGCCGGTGGCGACGGGGAGGGCGTCGTCCCATTGCCGGGGCCCAAGCAGATCAGGATGATGCCATTCCACTAGTAGAAAAAGGGTCAAATGTGAAGCACAATAGTGCCGGTTGGAATTTTAGCCGGCACTAATGTGTACACTAGTGTCGGTTCGTGGCGGCGATCAATAGCACCGGTTCGTGGCGAACCTTTAGTACCAGTTCGTGCCACGAACCGGTACTAAAGAGGCTGTGTCAGCCTGCGGTCAGGCTATGGCCCCACCATCACAATTTAGTGCCGGTTCGTACCACGAACCGGTACTAATGAGGTTATGGCAAGCTGTTTTTAGTCCCACCTCGCTCCCCTAACAAGCCTTTTACCACCTTAAATATGTTATTTCTCAAATTATCACAAGCACCTGGTCTTTATTGAACTCTATATGTAGAATTTGTGGCTGCAATATAAGTCTTCATCGGTTTATAAATCGTTGATGACTCATATTGACAATTCAGATTGTACACACAAAGATCATTGATGATCAAAGTATTTTTGATGTTATAAGATCATATTGACAATTTAGACTGTAAAGAAATATAAGATCATGATCTAAATGCTCTTATATTTTTTGCGTTCAGTATGCACCATTCAAAGCGACGCCATCAACTTTCAACCGTTTATGCCTTCATTTGCTATTTGTTTTGAGAACTAAATGACCTGGAAATTGAAAAGCACTACAAATGAACTCTGAAAAAATTGAAACTTGGCATGGTATCATCATTTCACCCACATATCATGTTCAAAAAAGTAGAGAGGGTTACGGCAAAAACTGGATGCATTTCGTTTACAAACTGGACAATCTCTTTCGAAGTATTCGGGTTTATGAGGTTATGGCAAGTTGTTTTTTAGTCCCACCTCGCGAAGTGAGAGGGACTAGGAGCGGTTTATAAGCCCTGAGTGCAGAGACGATGAAGAAGAGGCTCAATGCTCACGTTGCTTAGCTTCAAGCCTTCAGGAATACGGTAGACTGCATGGAGCTATGCGCAGTGCAGTTTACACTATTCCGAATGGCTTGAGGCAAATTAACGAGCATTGCACCTCCTTTTTATTTTTAATAACTTATTACAACTCTGGAGTTCTTCTGTTATGGCAAAAACTAATTGCACGTCGACATTTCTTTTTTTTAAGTTATAACTCCAGACTTTGACCATCAAGTTTTGCAGAAAAGAAAAAATAGCAGAAAAGAAGAAAAACTATAGCTGAAAAGAAAAAAACAAAATAAAAAAACTACTCAGAAATAAATAGAAGAAAATAAATATAGCAGAAGGAAAAAACTATTCAGAAATAAATAGAAGAAAAACTAAAGCAGAAAAGAAAAAAAATATTTGCTATTTTTCAATCGTTTACAAAGTGACCATGAAATTGAAAATCACTACAAAATGAACTCTGAAAATGTGGAATTTTGGCAAACTAGATGAAAAACTACTCACAAATAAATAGAAGAAAATAAATATAACAGAAAAGAAAAAACTATACAAAAAACTACGCAGAAATAAGAAGAAGAAGAAGAAGAAGGAGAAGAAGAAGAAGAAGAAGAAGAGGAGGAGCAAGAAGA